TCCACCCGTATGATGAACGACACGTAGTTGTTTCTCATCAATAACTGTAAATTGCGGAGTATACGAAATTTGATCGAGGGCTTTCCAACCCAATATTATACTCGAATTTCATTATAGGATCTCAAATTCGGAGTGGAGCAGGAAGTAGACATGATATTTGCTTCTTTTATTCGTAATGCAGAAGGAGTCCGAGAAATGAGGAAGGTCAGTCTTGTCACTTGCCACAAATGTTTGCACTCCAGTTTTTCTCCAAAAAGATTTCAGGTCCTCGGTGAAAAAGGCAAAAAGATCAAAATCATTGCCAAAATCGAGAACCAACAAGGCATGGAAAACGCAGATGAGATTATCGCCGAAGCGGACGGTGTCATGGTCGCAAGAGGCGATCTCGGTATAGAAATTCCTACTGAAAAAGTGTTCGTAGCTCAAAAGGTGAATGCTCACTCTTGGTATTACTGGCTGAAACTGCCCACTGATGTTCATACGCGTTTAGCGTACCTTACTGCCTCACTCCCAATTCTCGATTTGATAAAACGGTGAGGAGGTGAAAAAAAAGATACGGGAAACTTGTCACTGCATTCAGACGAATGCGCAAGGAAGTGCAAAAGAGATCATCTTCACACCAGCTGTAACAAGAACGCGTTCATAACTTTCGACCTTGGGGAACCGCAGGATCGAAGACCAACAACCTTTAATCTTTTTCGCGAACTCTCCGATTCATCCGACTAGTTACCCTTTAAGTTAGGTAGATAAGTCCGCGATTAGATAGGTCCCCGCGGCGTCGCGATCGCTGCACGCTCGGGCACTGAATGGGGCTGTGTGAGTTGAAATCAGCTGATATGCTCCGAGAAAATTGGGCCGGAGAAGTGTTTTCAGCGATGTGATTACAAAGAGGAACAGTAAGCGCTGGGTGGTCGAAGTAGTGACGGGATTCGATAACGGAAGCTCGGAGCGAACAAGAAGGATTTTCATGAAGAAATTTCCAAAGAGAACGGTTCCAGAAACGGCTTTGGTTCTTTTAATTCTAAGAATGATGAGTAAGAAGTCGATTCGAATTGAGTCCACTGCAAAATCACCCCACAAAAAATTGACTATGTTCAAACGAAAAACGCAGAAAACTAATCGAAAAAAGGGATCCATTCATTCATTCCACTCATTCATTACTCGGTGTTTCGACGCGAGAAAAAAAAGGCAAAGGAATATCTCCTCACTCTTCGGTTGTGTGGCACGTTACCAGAGGAGGTAGCGTCGTGGTTACAGTTGCGTTCTTAAGTGGGCCATGTATGCCGATTATCATTGCCGTTGCTACATGTAGTGCGGTCCTAGACCTATGCGG